TGACCTGACTTAATTTGCCCTGTTTCAGGGAGCTGGAATACCGGCTGTTGGAGCAGTGCACAGTTGATACAGGATTAGCCAAAGGCCAAAGCCTTCCGTCTGTCATGGGTAAGGGCTGGGTGCTGCACTGTGCTGGGAACAGTGATGTCTTCATCACAGCTCACGCGGTCTTCTCTGGTGACTTCTGTCTCCCTGTTAAAGTATGGTACTGCTATACTCAGCCTCTTGTACCAAAGTTGGGAAGGCAGCTCAGATGAAATTTCTGTAGGAAGGTTTCATTGTCTTCTGAGAGAAGGCCAACTTCCTGTTCTTCATCTGAGAAATCTGTACAGGCCTCAGTCAAGGTGAAACCTTAAGTATCCTAATTGGAATTAAAAATTAATTTGACTATGAAATGCTCTTTTTGCTTTCCAAGCTTTTGTTCTCAGTGTTGTTGTTGTTGCTGTTGCAGGCTCTGTTCCAGAAGACATAGTTGAGGATATAAAAGGTAAAACTTTCTGCCATGAGTTTATTAAATTGTGTAGTAGAGGAGAGTGTGGTGTCCAGTGTTGAGGACTTTGTGTTTAGCTGTTTATCACATTAGATTTTTTTGCACTTTGTGCCTTCCGGAAGCTCTGTCAATGTTTTTCCCCTCTGAAGGCAAGCACCAATCATCATTGAGTTCTCATTTAGGTGTAGTCTTTGTGCTGCCTAGAGAGAGTTCATAGTTAGGTAGACTAATGCAGTGGGAGCATTGTGCTGTCAGGTCTAGCTTACCATCAGCAGGTTAGGTTAACTTGGTGGTCAGGCTGAACCAAAGGGTTACTTTACACCAGAAAAACGTAGGGTATATATTTGGGCAGAACTTAAATGATCTCCTATGTAATGTTTATTGTGTTTCTACATTATATAAGAATATTTATAGAATTGTAGGTAATGGCCCATGTTACTGTATATATGTGGTATATGTCTTCTGGACCAAACTAGGAAGAATCCATTGGTCAAGTGCAAAATATCTTGAATGCTACTGGTGCTTTCTTAAATGGAAATTGTTTTCTAATTCCTGGACTGTCTTACTGGAAGACAGTTGTCTGATTGGTTTTGAGACAGTCTCTTGTGATCAGATGTGAAAAATTAGGGTTGAAATTAGAATTGCTTTTGTATTGATGTGGGATTGTTTAAAGGGATCAGTGTCTTGTGGGAAGCTGTGGTGCAAGACGTGGTGTGGTGTGTTGGACCGCAGAGTTCAGCCCATGCCACCTCATGGTAACCAGAGGCACAGTGAACGATGTCTCTCTGTCTTTACATTGTATTTGGCTTTTTGGAGAGAAATTTTGCCTAGGTGCAGTGCCAGCTTCATTAACACTTGGGACCTGGGTACATCTCAGCTCAGCTGAGGTACAGAAGCTTGGTTGGTTGTTTGTTCACTTTTTTCTAGTGGCAGGACCTAGAATGTGTTCTGTGAATGAAACAAAATTGTCTGTCCTGTTGATTCAGTGAATTCTCTCTTCTGTGCCTTTGTTTTCTGAAGTTCGCACTTGTTTTGTGAGTGATCTCCAACGTGGACTGAAAATCCGAGCAGCCAAGTTCAACATTGATGGCAGTGCTGAGGTGAGTGGAGAATGAAAGTCCCTCTGATGTTTCCTGAAGTGGCCGTGACCGTTCTGGCCTTGAAAGCAACACATCTTTCTATTTGTAGCGTCCTTTGCCGCCTCCAGATGTGGACTATCCTTTGGATGGTGAAAAGATTCTCCATGTAGTTGGCTCCATCCGGTAGGAAATACTGTAGTGCAGTGTTTGTCCTTAGGAGGATATCTTTTCAGAAGCAAGTGGGTTTTTATACAACTGAGCTACATTGAAGCAGTTGCTTTTTTGTCTCTTAACCCGAGCATTTGGTGCCAGGTGCAACGCAAGCATGCTAAAAGCTTTCTACTTCCCCAGGGCGTTCACAATTGAAGATGAGAGCCAATGGATCAGAGAGATGGGGGAGGACACAAATAGAGAATGAGTAAATGGTGGTGAGACACGTGGAGTGAGTGAGGCTTTGGCACCTCCTGGTGTTTGCAGTGTGTGACAGAAGTGATGTTGTGCTGTCAGGAAGGAGTCTGTGGTTTCTACCCTGCTGGCAGCAGTGCTACTCTATGAGCTAACACTCCTCTCCTGTCTTTTCAACAGAGACTCAGTTGCAGAAATACTGTTTGAACAGGATAATGAAGAGACTTCTGTTGCCACTTTGATCTTAGATTCACTCATTCAGGTATCTTCTTAATACAGACAAGACCTTGCACACCTCTAGCCTCAGAATCTGCTCTTAGAAATGGTTCTTGCAGTGCCGTCCCCCTGACTACAGGTTGCAGTCAGCACAACGTGACTCCTCAGGTTGTGCCCTGTAATGAATTCCTGTGGGGCAGTGAGTCACTGTGTCTCATTCCCTCTGTGGTTTCTTTGTACTCTCTGGTACGTTGCAGTTTTTTTGGGACAGTTTTCAGTCAAGAAAAGAAGCAGTGCAGTGCTCTCTCCTCAGTGGAAGCCCTGAGTTACATGCAAGTAATTGGGGTACTTTTATTCCAGGTGATATTTTAGAGATATTGTGGAACAATTTCTTAGGCAAAAATTATGAAAATGTATTAAAAAAACCACAATAAATAGAAATCTTATATGGTGTTGTGCTTGTGTCTGTATGTAGTAGTTCAAGTTGGGATCCTCTAGTTATTAGTGCCATCGAAGTTAGCTTTCTGCATTGTGATTTATTGGAGAACGATAGACTTGGATGACAAGGCAATCATTTCAGTTAGAATTCCTTATGAAAACAAATGCATACCTGTTCCTGGACCCCTCATCTCTCTCTAGCAAAGACCAGGGTTAAAGTCACAAATGTTAAATAGTATGTGGCTATTTCTGCCAGGCAAGAGAACTACAGCAATTTGGAAATCAACGTTTGTTTTTCAAGTGATAGTGCAGATTTGCTTGTGAGAGGTAAAACTGAGAAAGCTTGCTTTTGTCATGCCTTTGTGTCTCCTACTTAGAACCTGATGCCCAGGAAAAGCTGTAGCAGAAGCCTGTTCTGCCTCTGAGACTTCTTAACACCTTTCTCCATGTGCAGCTAAAAGAAAGTTGAGCTCATATTTCACAGCTTTGCTCCTCTGAGAGCTTTGGCATTTCTTCTCCCAGAACTGATAGGAATTCATGGCACTGATACCCCAGGCATCTTTTATCTTGGCCAGACTCAGCTGAAGGGATTTACAGTGACTCACAGTGTTCTCATGTCAGCATCAACTGGGCAGTTCCTTTGCCTGGTCTTCTGGTGAAATCTGGGTAGAAAATGATGTAGATGTTTTCTCCTTGGCTGAAGCAAGTAGTTGAAGTGCCTAGAACAACTGCCTGCATTTCTGAGAGGCCTTTGAAAACATCTGTGTGCAACTGGCATTGAAGTGCTTTTTTTCTTTTCAATTCCCTTTCTTTTTAGTGTCCCATAGACACCAGGAAGCAGTTGGCAGAGAACTTGGTGGTTATGGGTGGCACTGCCATGTTGCCGGGGTTCCTGCACAGGCTGATGGCTGAAATCAGGTACCTGGTAGAAAAACCGAAATACAGGGAGGTGCTTGCGACCAAAACCTTCAAAGTTCACACTCCACCTGCCAAAGCCAACTATGTGGCGTGGCTGGGAGGTAAGAATGGGAGCAGCTTTTGGAGCATGGGTCCTAAGTGGGAAAACAGACCTTGCAAGTGGGGTTTGTAATGAATAAGTGGCAGTAAAGCTTAGCTGAACTGTTGGAAGCGAGCTGCACCTGATGTGTGTGGAGTTGTGAAGTCCTCCTGGAAGAAAACACTGCAGGCTGCAGCTGCCTTGTGGGGTGCAGTGCAGGATGGCACTGCAGGCTTTGGGAACTTGGAGCCGGTGGCTTGCAGTTTGAAACAGCGGGGTGGGAGCGAGTG